AAGATTTATTTAAAACCTACAGTAAAAAGTAGGTTGTTAATTAAATGCTTAAAAAGTGGGAAATTCCAGGATTAAGCATGCAACCTTATTTAATTTCCCTTGTGCGTATATGCATTTTGATACAGTTAGACACACTTAGTTTTCCCACTCCATTATGCTACAGCATGCAAAGCCTTAGTCACAAGTCCTCTTACTCTTCTGAGCAGAATTATTCCCTGAATTAAGAGTTGCAGGATCAACCTCATACAACATATAGCACCAATGAAATGCAACCCATTCTGGGGAAGAGGACAATCAGCTAAACCACATTATGTTGCAGAAGAGTAGGAGCAGAGAGCAATCTGTAAAGCTGAGGTGAGTGAAAACCCTTAATTACACTGAGGTAAACTTGGAAACTGGAATGAACAAAGCTCTGGCAAGCAAAGCAGGGAACAGTTCTTCACAGATGTAGGAATGAGCTGCAGATCACCCACCTTAACATCTATTTCTGTGAAGATAATGACTACACATTTTAAGTTAGCTGCCCTGGTAAAGAGATTATTGAAATCTTTAGATGCTAGTACAAACAGACAGCACAGTTAGAAGCATTTCAGAACTCAGTGTTACGTCCAAGCCACGGTACAGCTCTCTAAGTGCACTGAACAAAACTTGATCTAAGGCAACACTGTGGGAAATTCACTGAGATTATCTGAAGAATTCCATCCTGTCAGAGAACGAGAATAGGACTGAACAGGAAATGTGCAGCCCCAGATAATTAGCCGGGCATAATATTTCAGGAGTTAACATTTCTGGACACAGCTTACCTGTTCTCAGAAATGGACCTGCATGACAGGCAATCAGCTCTGAGCCTAGTTTTCTGCCCCAGCTCTTTGATAGTCCATGCCTTACGATGCTGAATTTACCAAATAGCATGGAGTGTCCGTGCCTCATGGCCTGAGACTAAAAATAGTTACCATAATCTGAGTTCACATCCCTCTTTGCTAACCAAAGCACCACGGAAGCAAAACATGCTGTGAACTTTGATATATGAATTTTAAAAAGAAACGTAATCCTTGCACACTTAAGTCTCAACATTAACACACCTAAGAAAGCTACTTCCAGCAAAGCTGACATTCATGAAGAGTTGATGATTACTATAACCTACCAATTTACACTTTTATAATGGAGCATGATCCCCTTCCTTGGTGCTCTCTCTCACGTATTTTAACAAACTACTCCCCATCCTTGCAGCAGCAGGACACCAACAGTACTCGTCCCCTGTGGCCTGTGGCCAGTTAGTGTGACCTTCATGTTTTTTGGCATTGTCCCCAACAGCTGGCAAGTGGACGACTTGTGCAGTTTTGCTTGAAATAGGACACATGCATAGGATGGTTTATGTAAGGATAACCTTGTCTTGAGCAGAGGGCAGGACCAGGTGGCCTCCCAAGGACCCTTCCAACCATTTCCTAGGATTCTATAACATCTGCCAGCTGATCACTTCCAAGTGCTTTCTACACATTAATTAACCCCTTCCAGGCTCATGCATGATGAAAAAAGTACGACTTTTCCCCACCCCACTGACACAGGGGGAGGCTGGAGCCCAGAGAAGCCCAAGTCCTCAGCGCCTGTGGCTGATCGGACTTGCCCGCCGTGAAGGAATTTGGGACCGTCACCAGGGCGAGCACCTGCTCTTCAGCCCGAGCCCGCGGCAGCCGGGAGCGCGCCTTGCCGAGGCCAGGACACGGAGCCGGGAGCGGGGCCCGGGCAAGCGGCTGCAAAGGGCGCGGAACTGGCAGCGCGGGGCCCGGGGCCGCTGGGCGAGGTGCCGAGGCGCTGCTCCCGGGGCCCACCTGGGTGCACGCACACGGCCACGTGCTTCAGGCACTGCTCGGGCCGCAGGAGCCGCAGGGCCTGGGCAGTCTCCCGGCGCTGCCGCTTCTCCAGCGCGTCCTGCTCCTTCTTCCGCGCCCTGTCCGCCCTCTGCTGCTCCCTGCCGAGCCCCCTGGCCCCCGGGCTCCTCGTCTTCCGCCGCCTGCTGCGGCTCGGGCAAGGCGGGGGGTCCCGCGGGGGCACCGGCGCACGGAGGGACCCGCCCTGCGGCTCCTCGCTGCGGCTGGGGGCCGCCCTGGCCG